AAAATCCAATACCTAATTGGCTAGTGTAATTTTAATAATTTGAGCATATATATATGGTATATATTTCGGAAGGTTATAATTTATTAACCGTAACTGTTATCAAAAAAGTTTTTATTTCGAAATGGTAAAGTTCAGATCTATAACTAAATATGCCATTTATAACCAAGATTTATTACCTATGTACATAAAGCTGCAGTACAATATTAATAATCTGTCACTGCATGTAATAATTTATTTGATTTTTCATCAAAGTTGTGCTGGAGATTTATATGCATATTTTAAAACGTCTCATTCGATGTAGAATTCTCGGGAATGGTGCGACTAAGACCGGAATTTCTGGAAATCAAATTAATATCCTCGACATCACGTATTCGCTTGAAAAGTAATTTTGTTTCTACATTTTAGAGTCTTTCATACCAGAAAACACTAATACGAAGATAATTGGAGGATTGTTACTTTGACGGGTGTACGTTTTAATTTATATACATGCCTGAAATCCAGCATATCACCTAAGGACAATTTTAAAGGGAAATTTCGTTCAATCTTAACTTGGTATAACCACAAAAGTGGATTTAATTGTTTTCTAAACGTAAATTTAACCACTAATATTAATTATTAACCTTATATTTTAATTATCGTGCCAATATTTTACCACATCAAGTAAATTAATAAAATAAATAAAAATCAATAGTATTAAATGTGTATTATATAAAACTCATTAAGAATAATATTTTTTGTATTTGCCCTTTTTTATTAATCCTTACTTGAAGTTTTATTTTATATTATTTAATAAGCTCTAAAACAAATTTGTAACATTTATGTAAAAATGTAAAATAAAATTTTCTAAATTTGTGGGAAATACAATGTTTTTATTTGTCTCATGAAAACAATGATAATGTCAGAAATTACTTTTTATTTTGCCTAAACTATATAATATACAATAACAACCCTAGCGGATCTGGCAAACGCAAATTTAACGTTGAGTTGTACACAAAATCAACTCAAAAATTGCAGGCAAAATTTGTGTTGAAAATTTTTTTTGACGTAAATCGAACGCAAATTTAAACTAAATAGGTATGTGCTTTTTAGAAGTGAAACTTCTTATAAACTAGGGAATGTGAGAAATTTTAGTTGTGTGTGTGTGTGTGAGAGAGAGATAGAGAGAAAGAGACAGGGATAATTTCAAAAGAAATATAACAGTATAAAATTTGTGTAAAAAATTTTTTTTTACCATAACAGAAAGGCGCCGGTTATTACTAACTGGTTGGGGTGTTATTCAAATATTACGTAGGGTGCTGGGACGGTCACTATTCACTAATAACTTATTAGTGAGTAGTGACCGTCCCAGCACCCTACGTTATATTTGAATAACACAAACACAACACCCCAACTAGTTCCCCAACCCTTTCTCTAGGACATACAATTTAAGGCGTAGGAGGGCCCTGTAAGGGAACTATTTCCCGGGCCCTAAAATCATTCCAGCACGCGCCTGATCATGTACTGCTGGTTTATTACAATTATTTTAATAATAAAATTTCATAAATACCTTAAAACATAGGGCAAAATTTATCGAACACAGACACTGATTAGCAGTGACTGCTATCTAACATAACTAGTAGTTATTAGCTTCTGATTAATTTCAACTGAAATAAATTTATATCCTTGGCATAAAACCAGAAGCGAATTTGCTTTCGGCACGCGCCTAAAGAGCAGCATGCTTTCAGCGCTCCACGCCTTTGTCTTTTGTTGGCTTAACACCGCGTTATTACAAATAAGCTGAATTATCATAAAATATTAAAAACAATAGAATATTTGCTACTCTCCCGTACACATAATTGTTTATTTGATTTATGTTTGGTAGAAATAAACCATTTGGTAACAATTTTTACTTTTTTAAGTAATTTTGCGCTAGTATATCGTTTATTTTATTGTATCAAGTTAATTTGACAATGCGTGAGAGGCCGGTAACCCAAACACCCGACCAATCCGTGTCTAACATTTTATAATCAAATAAATAATTAACGTAAAGAACGTACTTCGAAATTGTAATTGGAAATTAGATAATAATGAATGTTTATGTTTATTCTTTTTAACAATTAAAATGATCTGTTGTCCTTTATTACTCTTATTTTACACACTTTTATTGCAGCAAGGCAGTGTGATCCTCGAAGTACGGTGCTTTAAACCCCCCCGCCCCTGCGATAAGGTGAACAATGTTGAAGGTGTATTTTATGTATTTATATATTAATTTCACTCATAAAATCAAAACTTTAAATCACCATAATATGAACTTTTTATTTTTGAAATCAACTGTTCATTTTTTTATATAAATAAATATCTCTTAAAAACAAAATTCAATTAAATTTTAAAAACCTTTTTTAGAAAGTTTTAATAATTTTTGTACAGCGTACAATGTATCTGGGGCAAAATTTGCCAAGTGTACCAGGTGAAAAAAATTTTGTCACCGATTTTGTTTAAACTTTACTTATTTGTTGTTCTTATATCGAAGAATCATAGCATAACATTTTTTTGCTCTAGGATTGTTCATTCAAGAGTTATGGATTATTGAAATTTATCGATTTTTTACTTTTTGGTGAAATCGCTTTTTATTTAAAAATTCATAACTTCTGTTCATCTCTTTATTAAATATTTCAATTTAACCACCTTAAATGATTTTTTCCGTACTTTTCAATGGGCTATACCGTTTTTGCAAAAAAATAAAAATTGCAATTTTTTTTTGAAATTTTGCAAAATTTTGCATTTTTGAAACAATGTGTATTTTTTAATTTTTTTTAAAATAGCATAAAATCCAAGTTTATTATGTTACCTTTGAATAAAAAAAAAATTTAGAGTGGGCCCGACATGTAGAAGGGAAGTTTTTCATATTTGAATGCCGCACGGTCTAGCCATCGAAGAGCTACTACACTGCCGTATGCGTTTATACCTAGTAGATGCGAGTAAACGAATACAAAATGATAATTTAAAATGTAAAATTATGTTTGAGTAGTCAATGATGTATTTTAAATATTTACACTGCCGCACGATATAGTTTTTTTTATTGCGTATTAGTCCTTCGGAGGGGACTTTAAGCCCGCGGTCCGTTCCTACCCCTAACCCGCACAAGCCATTCAGTTGGCTTATGGGACTTCTTAAGAAGTAAGGGTGGAACTAAAAGAGCACTTTTGTATATAAACTGTATTTTTTTGCACAAATTGTTTAAGCATGGGTGGGTCTACATAGATTTCGCAAGGAGGGTCGATGATATTAAATAAAAAATGTATTGTTATAACCGTAAAGGCGCCATTCAGCTTATAGGCAAGCCATTACGGTTATAACAATAAATTTTTTATTTAATATCATCTATCCTCCTTGCGAAATCTATGTAGACCCATGCTTAAACAATTTGTGCAAAAAAATACAGTTAAAAAACTATATCGTGCGGCAGTGTAAATATTTAAAATACATCATTGACTACTCAAACATAATTTTACATTTTAAATTATCATTTTGTATTCGTTTACTCGCATCTACTAGGTATAAACGCACACGGCAGTGTAGTAGCTATTCGATGGCTAGACCGTGCGGCATTCAAATATGAAAAACTTTCCTTCTACATGTCGGGCCCACTCTAAATTTTTTTTTTATTCAAAGGTAACATAATAAACTTGGATTTAATGCTATTTAAAAAAAAATTAAAAAATACACATTGTTTCAAAAAATGCAAAATTTTGCAAAATTTCAAAAAAAAATTGCAATTTTTATTTTTTTGCAAAAACGGTATAGCCCATTGAAAAGTACGGAAAAAATCATTTAAGGTGGTTAAATTGAAATATTTAATAAAGAGATGAACAGCAGTTATGAATTTTTAAATAAAAAGCGATTTCACCAAAAAGTAAAAAATCGATAAATTTCAATAATCCATAACTCTTGAATGAACAATCCTAGAGCAAAAAAAAATTTATGCTATGATTCTTCGTTATAAGAACAACAAATAAGTAAAGTTTAAACAAAATCGGTGACAACATTTTTTTCACCTGGTACACTTGGTAAATTTTGCCCCATCTATATCATGCCATTGAAGGAATTGTTATTAAATAATAATATTAAAGTCGTGTAAAATAAAAAGTAGTTTTAATAACTTTTTAGGTAACAGAAATATTAATTACCCATTTGATAATGTATTATAGCCTACAATTTTCTATTTTTCCTACGTTGATTAACCTTTCCTACGTTGCTCAACGTTTCCTACGTTGATCAACGTTTCCTACGTTGATCAACGTTTTACATGGATAATAAAATAAAAATCATATACTTTTTATATGATTTATATATACTGCTTTTTTTAAACAAGCCCGAGAATATTAAAAAACGGGTTGCGTTTTTGCGATCTCTCGAAGTTTGTCGCGTTCCCGGGAATGCGCAAATTAGGTCAGCAATAATATTTTATTATTAAAATTATTAAAATAAAAAAGCAAAATTTCGAAACACTGCCAACCTTTATATCACATACATTGTAGATAATTTTATTTTTTACAACTTTGCTTCTTTGAGTTTTTATGTTAAGTAAAAGAATAGTGTGTAATTTAAAGAAAATAAACTCACCTCTTAAAACAAAGATGACAGAAAATGCAGAAACAAAATCTATCAGCACGCGTGACACAAATCTGTGAAATTTGTGCGTTGGATTTTTTCCAATTTAAAGTATAGAATCACTGGGCTCATAATATTATTGCTGATCTGTTTAACTTGGTTACTTTTGAAATGCATTTTAGCCATTAACTTTGTTTTATTGAAAACATGATAATATTATGTATAATGTCACAAAAAATATTCAGGGACTAGAGCAGGGGTCACAAATTAATTTTATTGAAGGTCCGTATTATTAGATTGTTCCGGTCTGGTCCACATGCAAATTTCTAGTTCATAATAAAACAGGAATGAAATTAAATTAAAAGTTGTATTAAAGTTCATATTTAAGGAATAACTGTAGGTATGTATTAGGGTGGAGTGAAAAATACATTTTTTTCACTTTTTTGCTGAACTAAACTGGCTTGGGTGCGCAAAAGTTGTAACTTGGTATATTAGTTACCTCCTAAAAATTTCAGGTCCCTAACGCAATGTCTTGAGGTGCCACAAGGACACTAAAAATTAAAAAATATACACGCACACAACTAAATTTACAGGTGTCTCCAAATTGATAAACTTTATCAATTGTCAATAAAAATTAACAAATTTAATGAATTGATTTACAAAACTACAATTAGTGGTTCGATTAGTGGTTTAAAGCTTTATTATGTATGTCAAATACCCAACATAATTCTCTATTGTTTCAGATAACTAACGTTCAGTAATAATGACATCGACAGCACCTTTAACATTAACTCGTGGACGGACCACTCGATGTCCATTATATGGAGTTGGTAAACCATTTAATAAAAATGTGTTGCCAACTTACGAGGATATTTTGCAACAATATTTGTTCACAAAAAACGAACTGAAAATAAGCGGTCAGCTAAAGGAGCCCACTTTTGCAGAAGTTGCCAAAATAGTTGAACCACAGCTCCAGGAAATTTGGAAAAAAGCTTCTTTGCCTATAATATCCAGCGAAAGAATTATGGAAAGGATTAGAGAATACCATAACAAATATCGGGAACTACTAAAACCCTACAAACAGAGAGCCAATGTTGCAAGCTACATACAAAAGATCGAAAAGTTTAAAGAAAAATCTCAGGGTTTATTCGATATTGCAACCTGCAAGTGCAAATGTTTTGAAAAATGTACCTGTGAAAAATTAAAGAAAATACCTGTTTTAGAGAGAGAATTTTTGCTAGATCAGCGAAGCGCCAGAAAAATTATGATAGGGAATGTTGACAGTCATACCACGAGGCAAATGGAGAAAAGAGAGAAAAGGAAATTGCAAGAAGCAGCATCGTCCAGCATTGTAAAAACTATCGAGCAACAAAAATATGCTAATAATTCTCAAATTAAAGAGTCCTTGCCATCAATTTCTTTTGAACCTTCCACAGAACCTCCTATTTCTATTATATCTGGACAAATGCGTAAATCTCTGCCAAATTTAGCACGAGAGTGCGATAGATGGGGTCTCTCTGATCGCGGAGCAGCTGCGGTGTCCTCAGCATTACTTCAGGACCTAGGAGTTGTGACCAAAGATGACATTTCGTCAGTTATAGATCGCAGTAAAGTAAGACGCGAAAGACAGAAGCTTAGAAAGCAAAATCAATTAAACGATGGTAAAGATCCCATGCTGAAATCAATATATTTCGATGGCCGAAAGGATTTAACAAGAAAAACTACTTTAAAAGACGGCGTTCATCACCCCCTAAATGTTACCGAAGAACATGTGGTTTTAGTTCAGGAACCGATGTCTGAATATTTAGGACATGTAACTCCTTTATCGGGAACATCTTTCAACATTTTTACGGCTATTACAAATTTTGTATCTTTAAAGGGGTATAAAACTGATGAGCTGGTTGCCATTGGATGCGACGGAACTAATGTAAATACCGGGAACGAAAATGGTATAATGCGTAAATTAGAAGTTCATTACAAAAAACCTCTTCATTGGTTTGTGTGTCTCCTACATTCAAATGAACTTCCTTTTCGGCATCTTTTAGTGAACTTGGATGGTGCAACGCATGGTCCAAATTTCTCTGGTCCTATAGGTAAAGCATTAAAGCACTGCATGAAACCAGTTGTAAAATACATGGCAATTGAAGGAAATGCGTTACCAGCAGTTGATTTGGCGGACCTAAGTAACGATCAGAATTATCTGTATAAAATTGTTTTGGCTGTAACATCTGGTGAGTGTTCCCAGCATTTATCTAATCTTCAGCCGGGCCCAATTTCACATTCGCGGTGGCTAACAACTGCTAGTAGAATACTGCGTTTATACATTTCATCTAAAAAACCTACCGAAAATCTGATAACGTTAGCCACCTATATCGTTAAAGTTTATGCACCAGTTTGGTTCGCGATCAAAACAAAGCCAAGATGTTGGGATGGAGCACGACATTTGTGGAAAATTATTTATTTAAGTAGATATCTGCCACAAATTTTAAGAAACGTAATTGATCCAGTCATTCAAAGAAATGCATATTTTTCACATCCAGAGAATCTACTACTAGCTATGCTGACTGACGACAAACCAACTATCAGAACACTAGCTTTACGTCGAATTTTGAAAACTAGAAACCAGAGACAAAACAATATCGGTGTTAGAAAATTTAAAGTCCCAAAAATTAATTTTAAAGCCGACGAGTACTATGAAATGATAACTTATGCCACTTATTTAAACAATGAGCCTCCTTTAACAAAATCAATCAGCGTGGAAGAGCTCAAAAGTTATATTGACACAAACGAATATATAATGACATTTCCAAATTACCCCTGTCACACCCAATCTGTCGAGCGATGTGTTCGTTTGGTCACAGAAGCTGCAGCCGCAGTAGGTGAGCTGCAGAGAGACGGATATATTAAATCAAGACTAAAATCCAGATCTTTGATGCCCCAGTTTGAAAAAAAATCTGATTATAAATTGGATTAAGAACTTGTTTTCACTTATTTTATAATACTTTAATTAGCTTGTAGTAATAAACTCTTAATATTTAAACAATTTTGTTTTTTTTTTTAATTTTTTTATCATTGTCAGTAGTTCGGTGGCACCTCTGGATATTTAATTTATACCTTTTTTGCGTTAAATTGATATCGAAAAGAACTTATTTCACAAAAGTTTAAAAAAATAAATATTTCCAATGTACCACAAAAATAATAATAACACATATTTTTCTCGTTTTTTCCCAAATTTAGAAGCTTTGTGGCACCTAAAGATTTCAATATATTTTAAAATAATTTTAATAGTACACTACTATCATATAGCACCAACTTTTGCACACCCAAGCTTATTGATATCGGTAATAAAAATAATTCACTCCACCCTAGTATGTATATCTCTTTTGCTTATATGCTTTACAAGTACAAATTTGCGCTTCCAAAAGAAAGCGCAAAGTTGCACTTTTCCGAGGAGCAAGCGTTTCTTTACTTTGTCGCTCGCCGAGCGACAAAGTAACCAAAACGCTCCCTTAGTTACCATGGAAACCATAATAACGAAACGTGTAGTATACACTGCGACTTTTGACATAAAAGTCAAATTTGAGGTTATCAATAATTATTAATTATTACCAAACATTTTTATAAAAACACCGGTTGTAGAAAAAATCCTGTGTGTGATTCGAGCGCAAAGTGACATAGTCGCTCTCGCTTAGAGCGACAATATATTAATTTGCGCTCTTAATATACAAATATATATTTAATGTAAATTAGTACATTATAGACCAGGCGGAGAAAGCACATATTATTGCCGAGCATACATTCATTTCACTGCTGAGGCAGTAGATTGTGTGCGGCAATTAATAATCTTTCTCCGCCAGATTTTATATACCTATTTTTTCAAGCATTTAATTTAATAATTTTTTAGATTCTGTCACATCATTTTTAGGTTACGTCCAACAGACATGATGACATTTTAGCTTTATTTCTGTACAGAGTTTAATAATAATTTGACTTTTGAACTAGTATTAATATAAAGTCTTCCTGTATTATAGACTCAAGAGTGCAATATTGTGAAAATTATGATTTTTTTTGCTATAAGCTAGCTGTAAGGAGTTGAATTGGTATACGCTATGTTCAGTCCTGGAAATGTTCATCCGTCTTCAAGGTCCGCAAAAAATTAACTGGCGGTCCGGATCCGGACCGCGGTCTGCCATTTGGTGACACCTACTCTATAGAGTAGGTGACACCTACTCTATATAGTAGATTTAGGACCTACTCTATAGAGTAGGTGACACCTACTCTATATAGTAGATTTAGGACAATGAGCTTTGTTTATTCAGTAAGTTTAGCAACTAATTGTTTGTAATAAATGATTCCTGATTCCTTAAAATATTGTGTAAACAATAAACCTTTTATACTGACCAAGAAGTACTAGGTACTATAGTAATAAAACTTTAATCCCGTAGTTTGATTTTCAGTTAAACTTTGAATTACCTATCTTAAAAAGTATTTTTGGAAACAGTAACTAAAGGGACATATTTGTAAACTAATACTGTTTGAATCTACCATGACTACCACATTTTAAGAAAAATCCAAAGCATGTTTTAAAAGTTAAAAACATTATTCTAAGTAAAATTATTATTAAATTATTAATTATTAAATACATTTTTGCTTTGTTTTCGATACAACTTTTTATAAATCAAGTTTGGTAAAATTTAGTTGTGTAGCATTTATCCTTCCTATAAATTCAGATATAGACCTTTACTAATACATATATATATATTTTATATTTATTCAGGTCTGCAAATTCAAAGCAATCTTAACTACTAAATAATTTGATTTTAATTTTAAATATTTTTGTTATTGTACAAGGTACATAACATTGTATTAATAAAGGGTTGGTAGATTCTGATCCGCGCATGCGCGCATATCGGGTCGTGATATTTCCATAACAGGAATGCTTATGGTTTAGTGCATTTGTAATCCTTTGACGTTATTAATAATTAATCAATAGATATATGACCCATTGGTATATAGCAATAAAATTGACTTATTATGATTTATGTAATGCGGTTGAGACAGAGGCGTAACGTAGCGTTTCAACCGATTGCAAAAAAAAAAAAATTACTAAAAATCCATGAAATAAAATTACCGCTAAAATTCAACGATATGTATGTATACTAGGGTGGTTCGAAATATAAATATTTTTAAAATTGAAAACGCCTGTAAATAGAAAACTTGCGTTGTTTAATAAAAATAAGTATTTTCGTGAAAAAAAAATTATTTTAATTCCACCGACCCAGAGCTATCCTAAATATAAAATTATAAAATTCAGAAAAGGCCCTTGTCACAAGGTTAAAAAACGGTTATAATTTTTTTTAAGCCAATATTTTTTAGAGCATAACTTACTTTTCCAAAATTGGACAAACTGATTTTCAAAAAAACATGGGGCCCGCGGTCAATTTTAAAAATACAAATATTTACATATTCGACATTGACTGGGGTCCGCTCATTTCGCTTGTTTTTTTTTTTTAATGAATGTGCTTAACTTTATAAAAGTTACTTATGCTCAAAATAACCAAATTGGCTAAAAAAATAAAATATTTATATTACTACCGTTTTTTGCTCCAGCTTTTATACATTTTAATTTTTTTGTTTGCCATGGCTCTGAGGCAGTGGACAGAATTTAAAAAAAATGTATTTTTTTCACCAAAATGTTTATTTTGAACATTATTAACTTTTCCACCTGTGCAATGTTGCCAGGTCTCTTGCTTTTGCATGAGATCTCAAGTTTTTCTAATTAATCTCATTTTGTCATCATGTTTTATTGAAAATGCATTTTCACAAATTCTAGCATATTTGTGTATTTTTATCATAATAAATGTGAATTTTTATTGTCAGCAATTTACAATTTTTTTTGTGTGCAGCCGCCCTAAAAAATTATAAAATTTATCATGGTTATATAATATTTTTACAATATACATTCGTCAGTTATTTTCAAGTTTTTTAAATCATAAAAATCCGGTACATTTTTTGTAAATTTACTTTAAAATGATACAATAAACAATGTTCATAAAATTTTGGGCCAATCTTACAATTTGCCCTGTATTATCGTCTTATTTTTTTAATTAAAGTTAATGCACACAAAATGTCCTGGATATTAAAAAGAAACTGGCAACCCTAACAATGCGGTATACCATCGGTGCACCATTTTCGTGAGGTATAATAATTAAAGTTTATTAAATTTTAATAGTCAAATACGAAAATTAATAATTTTACAAAGTGGTCATTTAATTTTAGTAGCCGTTTTAGTACAGTAAAATAATTTATAAATTTTATGTGAATTTATATAATAGTTTAGTTTGGTAAAGACATCGTAAAGATAAATGGTACGACAAACTGCAGGGATATAAATAGCCAATGGTTTATTAAACGTCACACGGGGAATGGGAAGATGAATATTTATTTTATTGGTGGTATATTCGAAGGCGATAGGAGTTATATTGTCCAGTGAAGCATTTTATAAAAGCTATTTCCTTTCGCCGTTTAGACCGGATATGCCAGACACGGCAACAATGTTTCACACATGACTAGCTCCGGAAATATTCACCCGGACTACATCTTGTCTAGCGTTTCTCCTCCACTCCTTACAGTCTCCCGATATTTTAGCCTACCCACATGTATTAGAAGAAATCGTAAAATTATTGAATTGGATAAGCAAACATATGCCAAATGTTTTTATTCAAATATATTATAATGAATTGTAGAAGAGAAGCTGTTTTTATGGATGGTTTCATAAATGTATTGTTCGTTCTTTTAAGTTTTCATTTTAAAGTTGGTGAAATGTTAAAATTTCAAAGAAAATTAATTACAAACAAAACAAAGGATATGCCATTATTGTGTTAAAGTAACTATTTTTTTAGGAAATGCACCTTCTTAAGGTAGCCAACCCAATTTTTTGCACCCTGTATATTCTTTGTCAACTAACTTATATAAACTTAAAAAAAATTATATAAATATCATAAAAATGGATTTTGCATCATTTTTCCTTGGCATATTTTCACCCTCTTTTATCTTCCGTATAAAATTCTCATCAGAGCCAGTTGCCTGGTTATGAAAATCATAAATAAAAGGAAACAAAAAGGTACAAATACCGCGGACACAAAAACTCATACCTTAAAAATTCCAGATTCTTTCCCATCGAAAATTTAATATAACATAACTACCATTGTCATGAGTTTCATTCAATTATGTTCTTTTTACATAGTGATATCAGTGGATGATCACAATAACTTTTTCAATGGCCTAATTAAGTTAAAATGTTGTGTTAATAATTTTGTATCATTATTAAAGGCATTTAAAAAAATAGAATCTAGGCATAATTTGGCATTTTTGTGCCTGATTGTAAAGACACATTTTTGAATTAACATACATATGTGATAACTAGTTTTGTGATAAAGAAATACCTTGTAACCTCAAATATAGCAAAAAACAGAGCTTTTTCCTTTGGGTTAGAATTTTCCTAAAACCTGACTGCTCCATCAACTCTTGTTGAGACTGGCATTTAGTACGCCAACAATCTTCAAAAAGGTATAGTATTATTTCTGATTTAGAAGAATATATATTATGTAATATGCTTGAAGCATTCAAATGGGTCAAATATTTTAAATTTAAATAATAAAAATGTATTTATTATCAAAACTACATAATAATTTTAAAACGATAAAAGAAGGATATAAAAACTTTGATAAGCAGTAAAAATTGTCCTGCTTGACATATCGTCTCATTGTCACCATATGGCGGACCATCATAAGCGCAAACACATAGCCAATAGCAGAGCGGGTACTTTACTAAAATACAAACGAGGTGCCATAAAAATGCAGCTTGTCACCCGCTGTATTACTTTATATTGGTGAAGTTTCTGCACTGGAGCTTGCAGATAACGTGTTATTGCTGCACGGAAACGGTGGCTTGCGTTATACCGAGCGCTCGATACTTCACTCGCTGCAATCGAAAACTTTCATAATCTTAAAAGAAATATCGGTGTAATCTTACTGATAGTCGCAGCACGACGCTTGTAAAATGCAAACTGCACCGCTAAAGTCTTTACAGTTTTGCCAATCACTGTATTTATGCTTTACCGCACTATTCAATTCCTAGATTTCGACCACATACATTTATGACAATAGTTAATTTTAAGATATCGGAAAAAGAATGGATATTGAAAGTGTACTCGATCAGGTTTTATAACCTCTAACAAAATGTATTGGTCTTGTTAAGGGGATTGAAATCGTTCTCACTAGTATTTCTTACCTATTTTGTTAAAATGTTTTTTATTGTATTTTTGTGTATACTTTGGTATATGTATTTTGCGGCTTTAGGAGTTTAA